CACCAAGGGACCTGTACTAATGGGGGTGGGGAGGGGCATGGTGGGAGGGCAGGGCCAGGGGAAGGGGCGGAGGCACTACAGATGATAGAAAGCCACCTAGGTAGCCCCCCTCACCCCACTGGGACCTGAGACTCTCAGGGACCCTGGATAGCGGGTTCCAGTCTCCCAGACACAAGCTCCCCGTTCAGTAGCAACTGTTACAGATGCGTCCGGGTGTTCTCAGGGTCAGTAGAAGGCAGGACCTACAGCCAATGCGTCCCAGCCTGCTGACACCTGTGGCCCATTCACATCTTACCTCCCCACCAGCTTCCCCACGAAATCCTGTGAACTGTGGCTCTGCTTAAATGTAACCAATGGAAGGGAAGCGGATGGAGGTGAAGGACCCTTCCTAATGTGCTCATGGTGCTGGGCCCAGGCGCCGAACTGGGAGCCTGACCCGAGCCCCGGATTCTATCCATGCCCTGCAGCTGCCTCCTTCATGAGCCCATCAGTGTCTCCTGACCCCAAGGCTCTTCTGCCCCAGCCTTCTGGGGAGAGTCTTTTTCACCCTGCTCCCCCATCCACCTGCTGTTGCAGATGACTAACCCCCCAGATTCCCGGTCTCCCTAGAGATGCTCTCGGGACGAAGGGCCACCAAGAATCAGCGCATCTGCCCAGGATGCCTGGGGAGACAGCACTTTGAGTGTGACACCTGGCAGGTGACAGAGAATCTGGGTGGTGGCGTAGGGATCACTTCCTGGGGCCTATCTCAGGAGGTCAGCCTTCAACCCCCAGGCCACCTGGAAGGCCAGTGGTCAGCAGGACCTTTGGAATTGGTCTGCTAAAAATGACAGGCCTTGGCCAGTGGCCATGAACCTTTACCATGGGCCATGCTGTGATTTAAGAGGACGTGGTGGTGGAGGTGGGGGGATATGGAGAGCTGACCACTGCAAGAGAGAAGAAACTGTTCTTACATAGGTTGTGGTGATAATAGCATAAATCTTATTAATATGCTTGAACTGTTGAATTGTATGGTATACAACATATATGTCAATGCTTAAAAATTTTAAAAACAAAACTATTTTAATCCTAATCAGAGGACAGAGAGGAGGAAAGATTTTTAAAAGATGCTATTTCTGCCTCTGGAGACTTGGTGGCACTGTTGGGTAAGCATTGGACTGCTAGCCTCCGGGCCCTGTTTCAAACCCAGGAGCCTAGCTGCAGGAAAAAGCTGAGCTTATCGGTCTGGTTCTGTTAAGATTTACACACTCAGGAACCCTCCATCGGTGTGTGTGACAGTGTGTGTGACAGTGTGTGTGTGTGTAACAGTGGGCTTGAGAGGAGGAAGTTTGCTTTGGTTTATTTTGGCAGGTGAGTGGTGGGCACCGGGGATTCCACTCTATTACTATGTTTTAAGCCACACTTATGTGAAAGGTGTTTCTATCAAGGGATTAGCATGCGCTTTCTGTTATGAAGGCACTCTGGTGGCCCAGTGGGTTAGGCAGCGAGTTTCTTGCCAACCACAGGTCGGAGGTTCGTGTCCATCAGCCACTCTGCAGGAGAAAGATGAGGCTGGCTGCTCCTGTAGAGATGTAAAACCGCAGAAACACCAAAGGGCAGTTCTGTTTTGTCCTGCAGGCTTCCTGAGTTGGAATGGGCCCTGGAGTTGATGGCAGTGAGTTTGGTTGGCGTGGCTCTTTCATGAAATGTTTCCTAAGTTTAAAACACGAGGAGAGACGCACCCTGCAATATAACCCTTCTGAAAATACTCCAAACAACACAAACCCGCACTCACTGCCATGGAGTTGATGTCGACGCATAGTGACCCTATTGGACAGTTTGGATTTCCCTGTGGATTTCCGAGCCTGTAACTCTTTATGGGAGTAGAAAGCCTCAGCTTTCTCTTGTGAAGCACCTGGTGGTTTCGAACTGCTGACCTGGCGGTTAGCAGTTCAACACGTAACCACGCCACCACCAGGACTCCCCGTAGTATAATTTTCAGAGCACAATTGCCAGCCTGGCTGCTCCTGGTCTCGTTCCAAAAAACGGTGTGTCAGAATGAGACAGAGCTGGGAGTGGGGGCCAGGCTTCCCCGCTGGGAACTCCGATTCTAGAGCATGCCCTGCCATCTCATCCAGGCCTCTGGCAGGCAGAGGCCTCAGGGGAACGCCTGGCGAACTCACTCTCGTGTCTCCCTCCCAGACAGGTAATGGAGCTGGGTCCAATCCCAAGGATATGTTGGATGTCTTGACTCAGTATCGAGGCCTGTCCTGGAGGTGAGTGAGGGTTTGGCAAGGTCCCGAAGCCCTCCCTACATGGGAGGGCAGGAATGAGCCACTGAAGTATGATTTTCTATAATCCTATATTGAATTTGAAGAAGATCAATAGCTTCCGGAGACAACCCTAAAATGAAACTCTGTGCCAGCAAATTAGTTTCTACTCCGAGCAACAGGACGGAACTAACACAGAGGGGCAAACTGGCCCTGTGAGTTTCCGAGGCTGTAACGCTTCATGGGAGTAGAAATCCCTGTCTTTCTCCCCACTGAGACCACTGCTTTCTAAAAACGAGAGCTGAGGCTGAGCTGGAGGAGCCAGGGGGAGAAATTGCATAAGCCCTCAAGGTGCCAAATGGCGTCTCACTTCCCCACCGCCCTCTGTGATGGGGAAGCACTGTGAGAGGCAGTGGTCTGTGTGCTGGACAGAGGCTGGCCGGTGGGAGCAGAGTGGAGTCCGAGCCCCAGCTGCCCAGCGTGATGTGACCTTGGGCTCGTCTTTGACACAGGGATCTGACCCCTGCCTGACCACAGCACTGCTGGGAGTGGGGTTGGTCATACCGGTGCTGTGGACCCGACTAAGGCCAGAGGCAGCCCCATGTGTGTCAGTGCAGAACTGTGTCCCCCCCGGGGTTCCAATGGCTGACTTCAGAAGACGCTCTCTGGACCTTTCTTCTGAGGCACCTGGGGTGAACTTGAACCCCACCCTCGCAGTAGCAGCCAAGCACAGGGCCTCGACAATGAGAACTGGGGCAATGGAAGGGCTGGCACAGGGCATGGCTCAGAGTAGGCCTGCATGGGGAGCGGGCCTCATTACTCGAGAGCCCTCGATTTACAGATGAGAAAGCAAGGCTCAGAGAAGGGAAGAGACCGGCCCAAGATAACACAGCAGATGATACAATCACAACCTACAGCCTGGTACTTGTCTCTGTCAAGCCGTGCCCCATGCAGACTGGCCGTAGCTCCGACTCCAGAATTTCCTGTGTGCTCTGTGCCCCTGGCCTGTGCCCTGCACTGGCCCACAGGCCTAGCACTTCCTCCACCTGGAATTGGGCATCCCCGCCTGGCACCCAGGACTGTAGCTCTGCCATCCTCCTTGGGGTTGCCGCACCAAGCTAAGCTCCAAACATGTTAAAAAGCCTTTTAGACGATCCCAGACCCCGGGATCCAAACAAGTCTGGAAGGCTGCACGTTTTCATGCCTGGAAACCGGTCGGTCAGACGTTGATCTCCTTTGCATTTGAGGCTGTCCTGCTAGACGCCCTGCAGCCTAGAAGACACCTTGTGAAAATGGACTCCCAAGCCCAGCAGGAAGAGAGCTGGGCTCTCTGCAGCCCAAGAGCCAGGGGTCCTGAGCGGCCTGTTTGGGTCCCTGCCCCCAGGCCGGAGCTCCAGCTGAAAGCAAAACAGCAAACATGTCTGTATATTTAAAGTCGGGGACTCCAGGGGAGTGGTTCTCAGGAGGAGGCTGTGTCTGGCTGGGTTTCCGGTGGTCTGCTGGCTGGTGGAGAGACGGCAAGTTCAAAGGCAATGGGTTGGGGGCGTTCTGCTTAATGCAGAGAGAAGTCCGGCTGCTTCGTGGAGCTGGGAGGACTCGGGCCTCTGACATTTGAAGCATCACTGTTTTCCCTTCTTCCTCCAAACAGCGCGGGCGGAGATGAGAACATCAGCACTGTCACCACCCTGCCCAGTGAGTCCCTGGGAGGCTGCGGCGGGCACGGGCGGAGGGGCAAGTGGACCTGGCACTTCTCAGTGGCTCCTGGAGGCCACACTGGGAGGGTCCTGTAGGGTGGGGGGAGGCAGGGGGGGGGCTGCTTCCCTGGGGCTGCAGCCCTGGGGCTGATGCTGGGAGGGGGAGGGAGGTGAGGAGGGATGTGTCTGCCCTGGGAAGGGAGGGAGTAAGGGAGGAAAAGAGAGTCCAAGCCTAATAGCCTCAGAAAAGGAGTCCAGAGCACATCCTCCTGAGCCCAGCACCTGCCTGGAGCAGGAGGCAGTGGGCAGGGCAGGGCTGGGCAGGGCCAGCATTGTCCAAAATCATCTGCTTTGTGGGGTCACCTTAAGACCCGCTGCTAGGGCAGCAGGACTCCGTTTGGGGCTTTGTTCAGCCTGTGACAGCACTGTCATGTTCCGGCTGAACATTTTCCTGAAATGACTTCTCCAGTGACTTTTTTTCTCTTTTCATTATGCATCATTCCGGTTACCTTAACTCATGCACGGCGCTTGAGTGCACGTGCACGTGCCACCAGTGTTTAAATCGAATTATTTTTCTTTAAAATCTTCTGGATAATAATTGTCCCTGAGAGGGGCTTAGCTGGTCCTGTTATCAGTTATCAGCAGTACCTGGTCCTGTTATCAGCTACTTTTCTGGGGAAAACCCTTTGTGAGGTGTCTGTAGAAGTAAACAAATTCTTTCAGAAGTTAGAGACTGGGAGGATGCACAAGCCCAGGGTCGTGGACCCCCTGTGAACACACTAGAGGCCTCTGCAGGGTTTTCCTGGCTGTGCCCTTAAAGAAGCAGATCACCAGGCCTTTGCTCCGTGGTACCACGGAGGGGGTTGTCAAACTGTCCCCCTTTCGGTGGGTAGCCCAACGCTAACGATCTGCCACACAAACTTCATTTCCACATCGTCAACACCTCCCAGACTTTGCACTGACAACCCCATTGGACTTGCTGCCGCTGTTGCTGTCCTGCTCCATTTAAGTCGGCGCCATTCTGGCCCGAGGACTCCCTGCTGCCTGACGGCTAGGTCTGCGGCCCAGGGCTGTGCACACCTCCACTGCTGGGAGATGGTTTGGGATGCTTTGTGGGTGTGCTCCCGGGCCGGCTGCTGTGCCCATTCCCCTTCACTGAGCACGAGGTGATTAGAAGTCACCTGGCTCACGGTCCTTCACCAAGTGGATCAACCAAACACCCAAACCAAACTCGCTGCCACTGAGTCAATGTCTACAGGACAGGGTAGAACTGCCCCCCGTGGGTTTCCAAGACTTTAAGTGTTTGCAGGAGTAGAGAGCGCCAACTTTCTCCTAAGGAGCTGCCGGTGGTTTGGAACTGTGGGCTCTGTGCATCCGAGCCCCACACATAACCCCTCTAACACCAGGGCTCCTCTAGGTGGATCAGCAGAGGAGAGGAAGAACATCGCCCCTCCGGGAGTGTGTGCACTTGGCCGCCTGCTCGGGCGTCTCCTTGGCAGAGCTGTGCAGGCAGCTCTGACCACACGGGTTGGGGAAACCAGGGGACGGTAGCTACCTGGAGAGGTGCTCGAAAAGACATGGGGTCAGAACAGAACCTCGACTCCACCCTGATTAAGTGCAATCTGGCACACTCGCCAGTGAGGCTGAGTCCCTGCCCGATGGCCTCACCAACGTCTCTTTGGGGCCACGTCTCTGCAAAGACAGACACAGGCCCGCTAGCGACAGCCATGGACAGTGTTTTCAGAGAAACAGAAGGCTGCGGACGCTGGTTTCTGAACACTAGGGCTGCAAGCGCTAGAATCGCAGGTGCGGAGAGGGCGTGGGGCCTTCCTGGCCCAGACAGCCACGGAGCTGTATCACAGAGAGGACAGCCAAGATTGGTTCCAGTGGGCCAGCGTGGGCTCACCAGGAGTGGACTCCATGGCGGCAGACTGCTGAATGTCCCCAAACACCAAACTCAAACTGCTTAGAGTAGATGGCCCCTATGGGTTTCTGAGACTGTAAATCTTTGGGGGCATAGAAAAGTCTCATCTTTATCCCACGGGCCAACTGCTGGTTTTGAACTGCTGACTTTGCAGTGAGCAGCCCAACTGGTAACCCAGGACGCCACCAGGACTGCTAGGAGAATCCCTGGGGGGGTGCAAGTTATTCAATACTGTGAACCCAAAGATGTGATTCTACACAGAAGTACTTTGGAAGAAAGGCCAGGAGGTCACTTCCAAAGATCATAGCCATGAAATCCACTCTGAGCCAAGACCAGCCCAAAGATACAAGGAGTGTGTGTGCTGCTGACCCGGCCCTGCACTCCCTGGTTCACAGGGACACTTCTGAAGTGAGCACTGTGGGGAGGGGACTCTGCTTCATCCCTCAGTGCCCACTGGGACTTACCAAAGGACCTGGAAGATGGGTTGGGGGTCATTACTAAGTACATCTCTTCCTTATATTTATAGATATCCTCCGGGAATTCAACCCTGCCTTGAAGGGCTTCTCTCTTGGCAAGGGGAAGGAAAATAGTACAGGAGCCCATTTCAACCAGGCCGTGGCCGGAGCCAAAGCCGAGTGAGCAGGGCGGTGTAGGGGTGGACAGCTTGGGACCTCCAGGGGCCTGTGGGCTGTGGAGTGGCCTGGACTTCGGGGCTGGCAGCAGGGCTGGTAGGGTTTGGTGAGGGAGGGGTCTGAGGTAAAAGGCTGTCTAGCATTCTCCCAGGGACGTTGCTTCTACCCCTCCAGTTCTATCCCCAGGGAGCTCGTCACAAGTGACTGTGCTGGCCCCTGTATGTTTGAGCAAACCCCTTTGCCTTATGTAAAATCTCCTGTCTACAGACAAGATGCGTTTGTAGGCCAGTTATCATCACCATGTGCAGGACTGGTCCCTAGTTAGAGTCCCACTCTCAGATGTGCTTATAGCCATTTCAGACTCCCGACTTTGCTACCCTTATGAGTTGTAGGAGGAACCCTAAGCCTGGAAGCCCCAGCCCATAAGCCTTTGGAAGCCTCTTGGTTTAGATTCCTGCTCACTGTGATGCCCTGCCCAGCCCATCGTCCCCCCGCTCACAGGAGCTCTCCCTGCGTGTTTCTGCAGGGATCTACCCGCCCAGGCCAGGAGACTGGTGGACCTGATGAAGAACGACACGGTGAGTGAGGGCGGTGCCCCTGGGAGCCCTCAGGGTGGGAGGCCCTGGATCAGGGAGCAGGCAAGAGACCCACGGAGGCAGGGAGGGTCAACTAGCAGAGGGGGTGGGGATAATGAGAGGCAGACCAGGTTTCTCGCAGACATGTCTGAAATCCAAAGCTCTGCTCCTCTGGACAGAGACTCTCACCTATTTATTCAGCTGCTCATGTGCCAGTCAGCCAGTTACACTGCTCATGCCTCGGCCCTTGGGCCCCGTTCTGGAGGTACACAGAAATAGCATGCAGCCCCTGCATCCAGGGACTCTCCAGGGAAGGCCAACAAGAAGATCTCAAGTTATCCAATAGTTGGCCTGCGCTGTCTCTGAAGAGCATGGGTATAGGGTAGACTGGTAGCACAGAGGAAGGGACAGTCCCCTCCGCTTGTGAAGGCAGGCCGGCGGGATGGACTGGGATCCAAAAGATGACTATGCTCCTCAAATGACAGCAGCATCTCACTTTGGACTTTTCTCTCAGCTGCAAAGTGGGCCAGACCATTAAAGGGGTGGGCAGAGGGCAAGCATTGGGACTCGTTATTTTGTGTGCAATTTGATGGCCTCTTTTTGCCCTTCATGCCAGACATTTCTGGATTTCCCCCATCTTTGTCCTCATG